TGTATTTTAACAGTCAAACGCTAATATAGACCAGAATAACATTTGAAATACAACCAAGATGTATACAGATATATTTATGATTTTATTTGTATGTAGGCAAAAAGAGTAGTTTTTTCTTATTTATTTATTTATTTATTTCCATAATTTTATTGAGAAACAAATAGCAATGAGACAGTTTCAAATCAAATCGATAGGACAGTTTCAATAATTAACACACTGCATACATTCTTCCTAGTGGTTAATTGCTGTACAAGATGCGGATGATATCCTATTTACAAACACTATTACAACAAATCTCTCTATTCATTAAGAGAATGTAACTATATATCTATCCTAACCATTTTGAATACACAGATACAAAATGGACATTCATCTGTATCCCCTTTTTTTGTTAAGTTCCATTATTTGAATATTATAGGTGTGTTAACTAAGAGTGGTTTTTAAAACATCATGCTTCTCAAATTTTTAAGATTAAAAAAGTATAAAATGGGGCAGGGGATATAGCTCAGTGGCATAAGTGCCTTCCTGGCAAGCGCAAAGTCCTGAGTTTGATCCCTGGTACCAAAAAAAAAAAAAAAGTATAAAATGGATCAATCAATAGAAACAGACACATTCCTTAAAATCTTATTCTTTGGGGCCAGGGAGATGGCTCAGTGGAATAAGCACTTCCCTGGCAAGCGCAAGGCCCTGAGTTCAATCCCTGGTTCCACCAAAAAAAAAAAAAAAAAAATCTTATTCTTAGAATTAGGAACCAGCATTTAGTGTACAATGAAAGAATGTTAACTATATATAGTAATTATTTTTTATTTAAAAACATTGTTTTGAGACAGGGCCTCACTATGCAGTTCAGCCTGGCTTTGAACTCATTGCTGGGCTTGAACTCAGAGTGATCCTCCTGCCTCAGCCTCCAAACTGTATCTATATCTCATTTGATCGTCTTAACTTTAATCTTCATAAAAACAGAACAGAAATTATCATCACATTTTATAGATAAAATTTTAGTTAAAATTATATGAAATATTGCAAAAAAAGAAATCACAAATGACATTAGTTGTTATGACAGCTGGGATCCCAGAGTGTCAAATTTGAAGAACAAGCATAAATCTGCTAGAGGCAAAATCCTGCAACATAAAATAAAAGAAGCGCAATTTAAGACAACAATGCATCTTAATATGGGTAACTGAATATTTAGATCTAGTGAAATCCCCAGACGAAAGGGATATACATCAAAACCATCTAGGCAGTTTTTCTAAATCATAGAACATGTTCCAACCTCATCAAAGATCTGAAGAGACACAGAACTCAAGGATACAGACACGTTTCTGAAAAGTCTTCCAAGTTAGTCTAACGCACTGCTGATTAAGAACTGTCCTAAAATGTGAAAAAGCAGAAACAATGATTTCTATGTCTAAACAAGCAACCCAGGGCTGGGGAGATAGCTCCATAGAATAAGTGCTTGCCTGGCAAGCACAAGGGCCTGAGTTCAATCCCCAGTTCTGAAATAAATAAATAAATAAATAAATAAACAAGCAACCCGAAGTTTAGGTCAGAGCATGGACTGGGCCATGGACAAAACAGGAGAAGCAATTCTGACTAGTGGTATCTTCTTTTTCTCTCACTCAAAAATGCAGGTCAGGAAAAATAAAAATGTTGGGATAACCTTTAATTGATGTAATTTATTTTAAAAACAAATAATTTACAAAGTAAACATTTTAACTATTGTCAGTAGTGTACTTCTTACCATACAGCAGGCAAATGATTGTCACACCAATGTGGTAAAACATCACAGCTGAAAAAACAAACAAGCATCACAGCTAGCTGAGAAGAGCTAACTAGAGTGTATCTCCCTTATAGAGATGCTGAGTAATACATTTTGCCTGAGACCCAAAGGGGCAAAGGAAGCTAATAATACACACTTTTCCACAAATTGTCTCTCTGTCACTTTGGAGAAAAAGAAAATAATATGTATTCTTTCGTATTCTAACCAGGCCTATCAAAGTTGATTTGATACATTTCAATAGGCTGACTTTCCACTGAGCAGGCATTAAGAATCCAGGTAACAGAATTTTCAGATGACTATTCAACTGACTTATGCTGCACAAAGTAAATTAAAAATGTAAAATATTTTGGAAACTGAGATTCCACTACCATCCAGGCAGAAGAAAATCAAGGCATAAAAAAGTTTTTATGGGTTAGGATGAAAAAGAAGAACAATGTTTAAAATCTGTCCTAGATTATATAGGAATTTAAATGAAAAATACATGTCAAGGCCAAATCATCTTCATTAAGATGGCCACACTTCAAAATAAAATTATAAGAGGTCCAGATAATATGAATTTCAAATAAACTTTTTTTAAAAGTGTAAAATATTCGGTGAATATTTGGGTCACGTGCCCACAAACACAATCATGTGTAGAGAACAGAGATGGGAGAAAGTTGGAACAGAAGAAAATTCTAAGTGCCTTAAATTGTATTTGAGAGAAATGCTAAACATGTTGTAAATGTTCCAATTTATGATAATCTGACTCCTACTCATTTTAGTCATTCTGTTAATTTTTTGACACCATGGTTAACTTTTTGATACCTAACATTTCTGAAATCACTTCACATATGCACACAGTCTCATACTTAGAAAAACAAGCCATCTCTTTAGTTATCCACTCCTAACTTCTAGCTCCATTATTAGAGCACACTGCATTGCACTTCCATCCATTTTTTCTTCTTTCTCAAGAGGAAAGAAAAATGGTTCTCATAAATTCACACTACAAAGAGCTGGCAAGCAATATGATTTACAAAACAATTCTTCATGTATTTCTCATGAGTGACTTAGCAACATAAATTACTTTTAAAAGTAAAATTTAAAACATATTTTATCCTAGACTTGTAACTACTGCCATGTGCCACAAAAGGATAATCTGATCTTTTTACTCAACAAAAAGTTTTAAATTAAGCTATTAAACATCTTAACATTAAACAGGATAGAACTATAAATATATAAAGGTAGTCACTTTCATTTTTGCGTTCCATAGGGGTTTGGGAATATTTTTCATCATTGTGCCTATCTAGAGTCAAGGTGTAGTATTTTTTTTTTTAAGGCAATTAAAAACTGTTTCATAGCTGGGTCATTAAATCTGAAGTACTAAATAATCTAATTGATCTGAACAAATCCAGAATCATTATATGAAGTCCCTATTTTCATGGATCTGATAAATGTTGCTCATGAAATGATAATCTGTGTTACTTTTATTTGACAGGCATTATTTATTTAACTACACATACCTATTTTCGCAGGACATTCAGAGAGAAACGAAACAGTCTTAAATGCTTAGTAATCAAAAAAGTAGGTTTTGAACTTTTAATACTACTATTAAGTATACCCGGATTCATTTTTTTGGCCTACCGGTTTTAAATAACTGAATTACACTTGCTATATTTTAAACAGCCCCATTTAATGGAACACAAGGGAAAAAAAAAGCAAACTAAAATAATAACTGCAATTTGCAGACCTTCAAAATTTTTCCATTTATTTTTCCCCTTCCTTTAAGGAATCATTCTTAACAAATACAGACTCACTAAACACTTAAATTGCATCAATTTTTAGTCACGTGGGTCTTTACAGTACCTATAAATTTTTAAGATTTTAAGTATTACATTCATGTAATGTAGCAATAAGAGCTAAACATCCAAGGTCAGATCTTCCTCTACTTCTAATTTTCGTCATGCCTTCCTTTCATACAAATTATTTCTGATAAAAAATAACCAAATGAGTAATGTTCATACTTTTAATCTAAACGTGCGCTGAATTTATGAGATTATCTGAAAGTCAGGAATTATGTAGATGGGTAAAGGGAAAGTTAAAATATTTTAAACTACATTTGTTTTCTCACATGAAAACCACAGACAAAAATGAAATCAAATGTCATGTGAAACACCGATTTCCTTTTCAGCCTACAGCAGTAGCTACGGCACTGTTCTGCTCAACCCTTTAAAGAGGTTCTTTATGCTTTCTACTTCCTCTTCTCTACTCAACATCAACCTGCTACCGACGATCACTAAGGAGGCAGCAGGGAGGATGCGGGTCAAGCATAAACAAGCCCCCTCGTCAGCCTCTTGGTACAAGCGTATAATGCACACCTAGAGCTCGCAGCCTGCACTAACGCGGCTCTCTCCGCCTGGAAAACGCCCCCCAGTCCAAACACCTCGCCAAACCTACTCAATTTGATTCGCCCGCGGAAGGCTCCCAGGCAGCCCCCACGCCAGGCTGTCTACGCGAGACTCCCCTCTCGCTCTGTAAACCCGTTTCCCCGCACAGCACAAGATCGACTATTTACCAACAGAAAATAATTATCTGAATTAAATGATAAAGTTGTTTTCATTCCTGCCCATTATTTTAAAGCACAGATCATATAAAATCTCCTTTACTGCAAACAAGAAAATTCGACATCTCTACTTGGTGAACTAGTAAAGCGTGCGCTTTTGTTCAAGGTGAAATGTATCTACTTTGTTTCCACTTAACACCTGTTAAGTATCACTGAGGACTTCTATAGTTGAGCCACATTTTGTACAACGCTCAGCACAAAAGCGATCCCTTACTGACCCCAGATGAAATTAAAATTTTAAGAGTGAGAGCTCATCCCAGGCCGAAAGGTTCCCCATTCTTGTCCCAAAATACGATGCCGCCGTTTCTATACAACTCAGCCTGTTAAGGACGAGAACTCTTCTTTCTCCCTTATTTATGTTACTACTCCTCGAATCCTAAAAATCGGGTTGCTCGGAATTTCTAAAGTTCCAGCTACTATCATGCGATCAGACTGCAGAGCGCCGCTTTGATTTCGCACCCAGGTTAACTTTACAAAAGGCTGACGATCTGCCAACGAGGTGGTCTGAAAGCAACAAGGCACCGAATCCCGAACTGAGCATCGAAACTCGGAGCAGCGAGACCCTCCGACCAGCCCGCTCCGCGTCTCGCCCGGCCCGGCGCCCGGCGCCCGCGGACTCACCCGAGGCCATGGCTGCTCTCTCCGCGCCGCCCAGCCCGCACCTCCGAGTCGGGCGCGAGGTCGCCGCCAGTCAGCCGTCCGTCAGGAGGCCAAGGGACCTCTGCCGGCAGGACCCCCAGTCCCGCTGACCACCCCCTGCCTCCTCCTCCTTCCCGCCCTCCTCTGGTTCTGCGGCTCGCACCTTCCCACCCCCTGAATTCTCGCGCTTCGGGTCACCGACGTTGCCCGTCCAGGGTACGGGAGCCAGCGGCAAGGACGGGGCGGGGCGAGAGCCTAGCGCTCCACGGGCCCAGAGGCGGGCAGCCCGGCGGCAGGGGGATTTCCCGCCGCTGACGTAGGCACCTCCCCACCGCCTCTCCCGGGGGCGGGGGCGGGGGGCGGAGCGTGAGGCGGAAGTCGCCGCGAGCGGCCTGAGGAGGCCCCGCCCCTCCCCGCCCCCTCCCCGTGCGCCCGGCGCCTGCGTCCTGGATCCTCAGCACGCTGCGGCCCAGGTGAAGGGCGCGCGAGCTGCGGGAGCTGAGGGCGCGGGGGCAGCCGCGAGGTGACGCTGCGAGCGTGAGAAGGCCGCTCGCGGGCCCCTGAGAAATCCCCCTCCTCCGGTTGTTCTGCCGAGCGTGACTTAAAGTTCAGGAGCCGGTGGGCGGGTGCGGTGACGTCGAGAGGGCCGGCCGCCCGGCAGCACCTGGAGGCGGGCCGGGCGGGGAGCGGGCCGGCCTCCCGGCTCGAGGGACGGCCCGGGGTTTTCGATAGGTGGTTCCCGCGCTTCCCGATTTCGCACATGCAAATCTCCGCCCCCGCGCGGGGGTGCAGCGGAGCGCGGGCGTCCCGGTGCGCTCGGAAGGGAAGTGCGGAAGCGACCTTCGCCTGGTTCGTTCGTGATTCGTGTATTTGCGTTCGGAGACCCCCGTAGTCTGAGTTTTTATAACTACATCGCGAAGCCTCGGTTAACTTTAAGCATTTCCTATACGAAAACCTTTAAAACTGAAAAGGTCTTCTCTGCGAGCCCTTTGCATCATCATTTATGCTGCGATTCTGAGAGCCACGAGGAAACCGGGAGCGGAGCGAGCATTTAGTGCGGTAAAGGTCCAGCATGACTGTGTCCTTCGTTTCCCAGGGCTTGTTTCAACTGCCCGTGATATGTAGATATCCGCGTTTATAGGTGAATTAATCGGGACTCGACGTTAAATGACAGGTCTTTATTTCAGAATAAGGAAAGAAAACTTTACTTGAACACAGGGTTGTCTGATTCCAGAGCTCCATGATTCTTTGCCGTTTAAGTGCCCAAAACAAGTACATTATTGAGAGTGCGGGCGATGGCGAGTCAGCCTGCCATGTAAGTGCCCAAAATCAGAGGAACCTTGTAAAATAATTAAAAATGACTCTGCCAGTAGCAAAATATATCCTACAAAATGTACATCGTTATATATATATATATATATATATATATATATATATATCTCAGTTGTATTAGATAAGCATTAAAAGCCTGCATACATCACAGATAATTCACTCAGTTCCTAAGGGGCGGGGTACGTATACTTACAAACCTATTTGTTACCCACCAACTATGTTTATCCCAAGGAAAAATAATAGGGAGTCAAGGAATAATAATATGCTTAAACTGCCACTGATTTTTTTTTTTTAAGGGTTTGTGGTAGGGGGAAACACCAACTGCCCGGCAAGCACAAGGTCCTGAGTTCGATTCCCAGTATAAAGAAAAAACACGTTCCTACACTAGGGGAAAAAATATTCATACTCTAGCTAATATGCAGCTAGTTGAGTTTTATGAAGAATAAGACAATATTCTTCAAGGGCATATAGTATTTGGTACTATTGATTTAACAAATAGTTACAAAATTGATTTAATAATAGTACCAAATCTACCCTTTGCCCTTCTAAATTCATATATATATATATGATATATGTATATCAATGTATATATGTACATATGTACATATCAATGTACATATATGTATATCAATGTACATATATATATGCTAGCTGAACACTGTAGTGAGTGGCCATTTGTCTTTATGATTCTATGTCCTATATGAAAGATACCAAACATTATTAGCAAATAAAACTTTAAAATACTATTAAAATATTACTTTATTGCTATAAGGAAAAAGCATGAGGGTAGAAAGTGAGGGAGATGGATGCTCTGAGGAAGTGCCTTTGCAGGTAGGTGAGTTAGCTTCCAAAGAAAGATTTAAGGGAAAGAGCATCCCAGCGTGGGGAAGGAGGGGAACAGCAAGCGGCAAGTCCTTAGATAGGGAAGAGCTTATTTGAGGAACTGAAGGAAGTTAAAAAGGTAAACAGGGATCAGATTGTGCAGGACCTCGTCATACCTTTTGCCATGATGCAAAAGGTAGACTTTATTTTAGTTGCACATGGGACACTTGGAAAATTTTAAGCACATAATTGATGTGTGAATACATTTTGAGATGTATTCTGGCTATTACTATAACCTGACAAGGGAAAAGAGTAAAGGTGGTCATTTAGGAGGCTCTTGCAGTAACCTAAGTGAAAAAGGAGGTTTGAATTTGTATTTTAGCAGAGGAGACGGTAGAAAGATCATGTTTAATGGATGTTTTGATGATGGACTTGGTGAAAAAAAGAAATATTCTTAGCAAGGAACAGTGGCACACATATATAATCCCAGCACTCTGGGAGGCTGAGGCAGGTTTGCAAGTTTGAGCCAAGCCTGGACAGTTTAGACAGTGTCTCCCAAAAGTGGGCTTGGAAGCAAGCATGATGACATATTCCTGTAACCCCAGCACGTGGGAGGCAGAGGCAGGAGGATTGCCCCAAGTGAATTCAAAGCCAGCATGAACTATAGGAAGACTCTGTCCCCAAAAACCCTGGTGGGGGGGCTGGAGCTGAGTATGTAGATCAGTGCAAAGGTCCTGTGTCCAATCTCTGATACCCTTTCCAAACAAGAGAAAGTGGTGATAAAAGCTGACTTGGAGCAGATTGAGAAGAGACTGATGGAAATGATGAGTATAAAGTACTTTTTGGAAGAATGTTAAAGGAAACAGAAATGGGACAATAGCTGGAAGAGAATGTCAATTTGTTTTTTTTT